AGAGAATTGCTTGAACCCAGGAGGCGGAGGTTGCAGTGAGCCAAGATTGAGCCACTGCACTCCAGCCTGGGGATAGAGGTGAGATTCTGTCTCAAAAAAAAAATTACATTTTCACCAGTTTGAAGTTGCACAGTTCAGTGGCGTTAAGTATCATGATGTATAGCCATCACCACCATCTATTTCATAACTCTCCATCGTGTAAAACTAAAACTCTAAGCCCACTAAATAATAATGCCCCATTCCCCCTATCCCTAGCCCCTGGCAACCACTACTCTCCTTTCTGTCTCTATGATTTTTGACAACTCTAGGTACCTCATATAGGTGGAATCATATGGTTTTTGTCTTTTTGTCTCCAGCTTATTTCACTTAGCAGTGTTTTCAAGGTTCATTGCTGTTATAGCATGTGTCAGATTTTTCTTCCCTTTTAAGGCTGGATGATAATCCATTGCACATATAGACCACATTTTGCTTATCCATTCTTCTGTCGATGGACACTGAGGTTGCTTCCAATTTCTGACTGTGTACAATGCTATGACCATGGGTGTACAAATTGGTTACGTCATTTTAAAAATGACTTTCATGGCTCCATGAAGCAGGTTCTGGTGGTATTCCCGTTTACAGGTGAAGAGACCGAGGCCTGAGGTCAGATACCTGTAAGTGGTGGACTGTCCCGCTCAGAGGCCCTCCTGCTACGTCCACTGTACAAGGCAGTCCCTCAGTTTCCATGGCCTCACTCCTTCCTCTCATTTCCTGTCTGGCCATTGGGCCTGGCAGGGTCAGGGTTCTCTGAGCCACCCTCTGATTCTAACAGGAGCTCAGAGGTCCTTCCTGAATTGGGAGAGGACCCATGGGTGGTGTGGGGTGGGTTTGGATGTAGACTCGGGCTATTCCTACTTTACAGAGTAAGTGGAAGCCCAGAACTCAGGCAGCTGGCCTGGGGGAGTCCTACAGAGCAGGACCAGATCCCGGCTCTTTCCACAAGAACAGGCTGATTCGAATCCAGACCCAGCTGCATGCTGGTGGGCAGTGGGAGGGCTTCTCTGTGAGATCTTTCCCTTTCCTTGACCAAAGCCCCAGTGTTGTACTTATTGTGGGGACATTTTGGTTTGACTTTGGGATCTAGGTTAGGAAGCCTCCTTAAGATGCCAAATGTAAGGCCGGGAGCGGTGGCTCAAGCCTGTAATCCCAGCACTTTGGGAGGCCGAGGCGGGTAGATCACGAGGTCAAGAGATCGAGACCATCCTAGTCAACGTGGTGAAACCCCATCTCTACTAAAAATACAAAAAATCAGCTGGGCACAGTGGTGCATGCCTGTAATCCCAGCTACTCGGGAGGCTGAGGCAGGAGAATTGCCTGAACCCAGGAGGCAGAAGTTGCGGTGAGCCGAGATCGCACCATTGCATTCCAGCCTGGGTAACAAGAGTGAAACTCCGTCTCAAAAAAAAAAAAAGATGCCAAATGTGAGCTTTGTTAAACATCTGCCATCTACTCCATCCATCTTTCCCACAGGTCAGTGACATCAAATTCCAGGCACCCAGCGGTGAGGAGAAGGAGTCCTGGATCAAAGCCCTCAATGAAGGGATTAACCGAGGCAAGAACAAGGCTTTCGATGAGGTGCGATGCAGTCCATGGACAGCTCTGCATCTCCTTTCCCACTGCATGTGATCTAGGAGAGGACCCTGCCCCTCCTCACCAAAGACCACCCCTTGATTATGTCGCTGCGATGGGGCATTGTTGCTACCTTCTTTAGTCCCCAAGACAGCCCTCCATAGGAGGGGATGCTTCCTTGTTTTATAGATGAAATGGAGGCCTAAGGAAATTTAGTAACTTGTCTTAAACTGAAAAGCAGTTACGTGGTGGACTGGAACTGGACTGGTGGCAGCACGCATCCTTTCCAGAGCAGGTGGGCCCAGGCCAGACAGTGCTACAGGGTGAGCCAACAGCTCCCTTTTCAGTTTGCCCATGAGGTCCAGGCCAGGCTGGCTCTCAGCTCTGGGCCTCCCTGTCTGTCTGCAGTGACCATTCAGCCCTGCAGACCTTAGCCCCCTGTCCTGTATTGGGGACTGTGACAGCGGTAGCCACAGTCTGGCTTGGGGCAGGCAGAACATCCCATGGGGCCAGGATCTCCTAGGGAGATTTGTCTTTGACATCATGGATCCTTGGTTATTTGGGCTAAAATGGACGTGGGGGCCACCTACAGTGATGCCTTGAATTATGTGAAGGAGCAAATCTTCCCAAGCGAGTCCCTTCTTAATACCCACGTCCCCGACTCCAGCCCATAGCTCCTGTGTCACATCCTGTGTGACATGTTGTGTTCAGCCCTTTACAACCTGGGGGAAAAATGTCCCCATTCCATGGGAGAGGGATAATAGGACATATCATAGATATTGGGGGAGGCCACAGGAGCCATAGGCTGGGTCTCAGCCTGCAGTCCGCTCCTCCACTGAGGGACAGAGACAGTTGGAGTCGCACATGGCCCTGAGCTACTCCAGAGTTCCGAGTCTGGACCTCCCACGTGACCCTTGCTCAGAGGCTTCCCAGCTACTCCTAATTCCTTTCTGTTACCCTCAGAGAAAGGATGTTGCCCTCCAGGCTCCTAGGCTCAAGGGGCAGAGGCCCTACTCTCTCCTAGGTTCTCCCCAGGGGTCCTGGGAGAGTAACAGAGGCCAGGGCAGACCTATTCCAGAAATCAGGTACCAAGGGAGCATGGGCTGCTTTCTGCCTTCTTTCCTGGATAAGCCCCAAAGCCACCTCAGGGCTGCTTAGATATTTGTGATAGACTTGGGCAAGGGCTGATGGCCCATACTTGGGCAGGAAGACTGAGGCAGATGGCACCTGCAGAGAGGGAGAACCTCAGACTCTGGAAGAGACCCCAGGGGCATTGCAGAGTCAGAGAAGCAGAGGCTGTAGCAGGGAGATACCCAGAGAGGGCAGTGGTGGGGCACTGCCCCTGTCTCTGAGCCAGGTCCAGCCTGAGTACTTCCCACACTCCCCAAGGCTTGGCGGGGGCTGATCTGCTTCCTCCTCCCTCCAGGTAAAGGTGGACAAGAGCTGTGCCCTGGAGCATGTGACACGGGACCGGGTACGAGGGGGCCAGCGGCGCCGGCCACCAACGAGAATCCACCTGAAGGAGGTAGGGCCTTGCCCAGTGTGAATGGGGGAGGGTAGTTGAGCCTGAGACCTGGAAGTGGGGAGGCGGCTTTCCAGGCCCCTGGAGGGGATGAAGAGGGAGGGGTTGATGGGAGGACATTAGAAAGCCAGAGCCACCTGGGCTTGTGATGGAATCCAGGGATTGGACAGAGGGAAGGTTGTCCAAGGTGCCCCAAGCCTGGAAACTGGAAGTGTGGAGGCCCTGGGCACAGGCATTTTGGAGAAGGTCTGGGCAAGGGGGAGGTGGGAGAGGAGGAGCCTTTTAGACCAGTGGAACTAAGCCTTCAGAGAATGATTTTGGAGGCCAGGAAAGAACCTCAGCAAATGCTACATTTAGGGATTGGAGGGAGGTCAACCAGCAGCAGGGAGCCAAGGAAGAGGAAGCCAGAGGCAGTGGCACATCTGGATAGGGATGGGCACCAGACCTGGTTGGCATTGGCCAGGTTGGCAGCCACAAGTCACAGGCAGGACCAAGGCAGACAGTGCCATTTGCAGCATATTTTTTTTTCTTTTTTCTTTTTTTTTTGAGACGGAATTTCGCTCTTGTTACCCAGGCTGGAGTGCAATGGCACGATATTGGCTCACAACCTCCGCCTCCTGGGTTCAGGCAATTCTCCTGCCTCAGCCTCCCTAGTAGCTGGGATTACGAGCACACGCCACCATGCCCAGCTAATTTTTTGTATGTTTAGTAGAGACGGGGTTTCACCACGTTGGCCAGGATGGTCTCAATCTCTTGACCTCGTGATCCACCCGCCTCGGCCTCCCAAAGTGCTGGGATTACAGGCTTGAGCCACTGCGCTCCGCCTCGCAGCATATTTTCTAAAGGCAGGAGTTGGTGTAAGCTGTCCTGGGGTGCAGGGCTGGATTTGCCAGAGGGAAGGACCCAAGGTCACGGGAGGTTTGTTTTTGAGATGTGGCAGCCTGTGCCTGTCTGTCAGCTGAGGGAAAGGAGATGGCAGAGGGAGCACTGAGGGGGGCTGAGGACGGGCATGGGGAGGGCCAGGCTTGGCCCTCTGCACAGAAGAGTTCAGGGAGGCAGCTGTGTGTGTGTGTGTGTGTGTGTGTGTGTGTGTGTGTGTGTGTGGTGGTGGTGGTGTTGGTGGTATGTTGGGGGTGACTTTCTGGTGTTCCCAGTGCGTAATAGCATGTGTCAGCCAGATCCTGTATATGTGTAAAAGGGATTGAGAGCAACAAAGGAGATCCCCTCTCTACTAACAAGTAAAAAATTAGCTGGGCATGGTGGTATATGCCTGTGGTCCCATCTACTCTGGAGGCTGAGGCGGAAGGACTGCTTGAGCCTGAGGGGGTCAAGGCTGCAGTGAGCTATGATGATGCCACTGCATTCCAGCCTGGGTAACAGTGAGACCCTATCTCTTTTTTTTTTTTTTTGAGACAGAGTTTCATTCTAGTTGCCCAGGCTGGAGTATAATAGCATGATCTGGGCTCACTGTAACCTCAGCCTCCTGGGTTCAAGCGATTCTCCTGTCTCAGCCTGCTGAGTGGCTGGGATTACAGGTTCCTGCCACTACACCCAGCTAATTTTTGGTATTTTTAATAGAGACGGGGTTTCTCCATGTTGTCCTGACTTCGGGTGATCTGCTCACCTCGGCCTCCCAAAGTGCTGGGATTATAGGCATGAATCACCGTGCCCAGCCAAGAGACTTCATCTCTTAAGAAAAAAAAAGGTGGTGGGCACAGTAAGGATCCCAGCCAGGACCCCCACCATCTGAGGGACCTTGGGACTGCCTGGCCCTGCTGGGGCCTCTGAGGCTCCCTGGGAGGGTCTTATGACTATGGGGCTCCTAGATATCCCTGCTAGTCCCTGGAGCCTTGTGGGGGTGGGTAGCTACCTGGTAGTGCAGCTGTTCTCTGGCAGTCAGCTGTGGTCTGGGACCACATCTCATGACATGAGGAGAGTGGGCACAGGCTGCTGAGCAGCTGGACAGCAAAGGCTGGAGAGAAGCTGGCAGGCGGAACAGAGGTCTCCAGGAAGGGCAAGCAGAAGTGAGCGAGCTTGAGACGAACTGGGAGAACTCTATTGGAGTCCTGGTCCTGTCTCCGACTGGTGAACTGGCTGTGGGGATCCTGGGTATGGTGGCAGGTAGGTGGGTTACAGAGAAGGGAACCTCTGAAGGCCATACAGCTTAGTAGGAGTTAGATACAGGGCTGGGACTCTGTCCCCTGCCACCCAGGCTAGTATAGTTATCCCTAAAGAGTTTCTCTCACCAGCTGGAAGAAACCAGTCTGGGGCTCCAAGAGGACCCTGGCTGTGACTTTCCTGGCCTGTGATTCCAAAACAGAGAATTCTTTGGCTGTGAGGGAAAGGAGAAGGAGATTCATCAAGAAATCAATTCAGCCTCTAATCAAGTAGCCCCCAGAAGTCAGGACAGAAGGGATTGGGGGCCCGGGGCTGGGGGCCTAGACAACCTGGATGGGAGAGTATAAGAATGTGTGTCAGCCAGGCGCAGTGGCTCATGCCTGTAATCCCAGCACTTTGGGAGGCCGAGGCGGGTGGATCATGAGGTCAAGAGATCGAGACCATCCTGGTCAACAAGGTGAAACCCCGTCTCTACTAAAAATACAAAAATTAGCTGGGCATGGTGGCGCGTGCCTGTAGTCCCAGCTACTCAGGAGAATTGCTTGAACCCAGAAGGCGGAGGTTGCGGTGAGCCGAGATTGTGCCATTGCACTCCAGCCTGGGTAACAACATCGAAACTCCGTCTCAAAAAAAAAAAAAAAGAATGTGTGTCAGTGGGCACACCTAACCCAATGGCTTATCAGCCAAGATGATGCCCATATACTATTCCTCCACCAGGTGGCCAGCGCAGCTTCTGATGGGCTTCTCCGCCTGGACCTCGATGTTCCAGACAGTGGGCCACCGGTGTTTGCTCCCAGCAATGATGTCAGTGAAGCCCAGCCTCGGGAGATACCCCGGGCCCTCATACCTCCTACCAAGCCTTCCCTAGCACCTGAGACCACCAGCCTTGGTGACAGGGCAGATACCGATACCCTTGCAGGGGAGAGAGCCCCAACCCCTGTCTCAGCAAGCTCTGAAGTCTCCCCTGAGAGCCGAGAGGACTCAGAGACCCCAACAGGGGAGGACAGTGGCTCGGAGCAGCGTCCCAACAGTGTCCTGCCCGACAAACTGAAGGTGAGCTGGGAGAACCCCAGCCCCCAGGAGCTTCCTCCTGCAGAGAATGCAGAACCCTCCCAGGCACCCAGTTCTGAGACGTCTGAGGCTGCCCCCAGGGAGGGTGGGAAGCCCCCTACACCCCCTACACCCCCACCCAAGATCTTATCGGAGAAACTGAAAGCCTGCATGGGTGAGATGAAGGCTTCTGGGCCACCTGCTCCAGGCACAGCGCAGGTCTCAGTGAATGGCATGGATGACAGTCCTGAGCCTACCAAGCCATCCCAGGCTGAGGGCACCCCAGGAACCCCCACAAAGGATGCAACAATGTCCACAGCACTGCCCCACTGGGACCTGCCACCTCAGTTCCATCCCCGCTGCGCCTCCCTTGGGGATCTGCTTGAGGAAGGCCCTCGGCGTCCCTTGCAGCCCAGGGAACGGCTGTATCGGGCGCAGCTGGAGGTGAAGGTGGCCTCAGAACAGACAGAGAAACTGTTGAACAAGGTGCTGGGCAGTGAGCCGGCCCCTGTTAGTGCTGAGACATTGCTCAGCCAGGCTGTGGAGCAGCTCAGGCAGGCCACCCAGGTCCTGCAGGAAATGAGAGATTTGGGAGAGCTGAGCCAGGAAACACCTGGGCTAAGGGAGAAGCGGAAGGAGCTGGTGACCCTCTACAGGAGAAGCGCGCCCTAGGGCCTGCTGGGCTGGAGGTGCCATCCCTCCTGGCCATCCCATCAAGTGCATCCAGGCCCAGCCCTGCTGAGAAATGTGCTTCTGCCTCTACAGCAATGGCTGCAGCAGGGCCACTGGGCATGTCAGCGTTTGGCTACGACCTGAAGAGACTCCTGCCATCCTACTCTGCTCTGGCCAGTGGTGCCAGGTGCCACCCAGGGCTACTGTTTGGCTATCTGGACTGGCCTCTGGGCTGGGGCTGGGAGCACACACACTGGGACCTATGCGTTTGTGTGGTTCCAAACTGCCCCAGGGCTTTGGGGGCGGCACTTGGGGTTTCTGGGAATGACATCATCTCTGTTCCCCATCCCCAGTAATTTACATTCCTGAATAGAGCACAGCTGATCCCCCTGCAGCCCCCATCTCCAGATATTCCCAGGCAAAGAGCCTCATGGCTAAGGCAGCCTCAAAGCTAGCTCCCTCCCATCTATTCTGAGTCCCTGCAGAGGCCTTGGGTCCAAGGCTCTAGGTTCATCCCTTAGTTGGGGGTACATAGGACCCAGCTGGAACCTCTTGAGGCAGATTAGAGGACTCTTTGTTAGGAAGACATTTGCTGTGTGGCCTCTCTCTCTGGCCCTGCTTCCTTTTTTTGCAAAACAAGGGCATCTTCTGCAGCCCCTTACTCTCAGGTGAGCTGTGATTGGAGGGCTTAGGTCTGGAGGATTCAAGAGTGGAAGGGGAACTTAAAGGGTCTTCTAGTCTAGTCTCTGCCCCTGGATAGTGTCCAGCCTTGTACACTTCTGAAGAGGTGAGTCCCAGCATGGCCCTGATGTCCACACTAGAAAAATTAATTATCATGTCAGCCTTCAGAAGAAATCCCCACCAACTTCTGGGCCTCCTCAGATGGGGATTTATCTGGGTCTCTGTGGTTTCTTCTCAGCCCAAACAGGTCCAGTATCCCAGTCATTTCTTCAAATGCTGATGGGGATATGTTGGAATCTGAAACCACTGCCTCCACCTTCAAGCCCCATATGGGCTGCTCTCCTGTAACTTCCTAGGAGAAGAAACATTTTCTCCTTTCCTTTTCCTGGTTCATCCCTGCACCCTGGTCCTCTCCCAGCCCCTCCCGCACATTGTTCCTGGCTCTAGGGGCCACATCCAGTCTCCATGGTGCTGCAGCAGCTGGACTGAGGCAGAACCTGGAGGTGCAGAGGCCCTGGCTCCCTAGTCCAGTCACTCTCCCTGGGGCCTGTGGGGTGGGAGCAGCTTCTGAGGGACCTGCCCAGATTTCTGCATGTGCACTTTTGTTTACTGAAAGAGTGAAAGGGAGGGTACAGCCTGCTCTGGCCTATCTGCCCGCCACCCCCACCTGACTGAGGCCTGCTGCACAGGTCAATGCCTTTGTTACTGTACTGTCACTTTGTTCTTGAGAGTAGTAGTCAAGGATCAGGAGGGGCAGATGTCCACTCTGAGCTGCATGGGGCAGGAGCAGAGGTGAGCAGCAATGTGCTGGCTCGGGAGCCCCCATCGGCCTCCTTGCACAAATGGCCCCCATGCCACAGTCTGCCTTTCCCTCCATCTTCTCCAGGACAAGAGCAAGAAGGACATCAGGTTCCCAGTGATGTGACCCCTTGCCATCTTCCCTTAGGGAACAGCTTCCCTCCACCAGCAGCCACGGCTGACTGGGACTTTAGCCAAGCCACCTACTGCTAGGAATTGGAGCCTTAGTTCCCTCCTCTGTCAAGTAGCTACTGCAGCAGCTGGACTGAGGGCAGAGTCTGTGGGTGCAGAGAGCCTGCATGTAGGTCACAGGTGTAGGCCTAGCTCCCCAGGCCCAGTCCCTGGGGCCTGTTCGGTAAGCAAGTAGCTCTGGGGCCACCTCAAGTGACCAAATGCTATTAATTTCCATCCCTTAGCAGCTCGGGCCCTAAGCAGGAAGCTGGCTTTCAGGAGAGAAGGAGCGAGGATGTACAGAGGCTGTCTAGCTTGCCTTCCTGAGGAGGGTGGCATTTTGTGTCTTCTGCTTATGAAGCGCCTTTCTTGAAGTTTGGCAATAAATCCCTTTTTATGGAACTCCACTGCATCAAGCCTGTTTGTTGTTGTGGGTGCCAGCTCCAGGGCTGCCCTTCTCCAAGACAGCAGTTGGTGATTGGCATCACTCAGTCCCCCAAACTTGGTACTAGGGCCCCCACTCCATAAGCTGGGCTGGGACACTGCCTGCTCCCGGTGCTCCATCCATTATTGCTTATTATTATTATTAGGGATGTAGTCTCGCTATGTTGCTCAGGCTGGTCTCGAACTGCTGGCCTCAAGCCATCCTCTGGCCTCAGCTTCCCAAAGTGATGGGATTACAGGCATGAAGCACCTTGCCCAGCATTCTGTCCTTAATAAACTCAGGCCCTTCTGATTTATATCCCTACCCCCAGTGTTTCTATGGCTGGGGACTAAGTGTCACGAGGAACAATACTTTTCAAAAACCAGACTTTTCAGCCAGACATGGTAGCTCATACCTGTAGTCTCAGTACTTTGGGAGGTGGAGGTGGGAGGATCACCTGAGGTCGGGAGTTTGAGACCCGCTTGACCAACACGGAGAAACCCGATCTCTATTAAAATACAAAATTAGCCAGGTGTGGTGGCACATACCTGTAATCCCAGCTACTCAGGAGGCCGACGCAGGAGAATTGCTTAAACCCAGAGGCAGAGGTTATAATGAGCCGAGATTGTGCCATTGCACCCCAGCCTGAACAACAAGAGTGAAACTCCATGTCAAAAAACAAACAAACAAACTTTTCATTTTGGAAATATTTTTTTCATTGGCTCACACCTGTAATCCCAGCAGTTTGGGAGGCTGAGACAGGCGGATCACGAGATCAAAAGATGGAAACCATCCTGGCCAACATGGTGAAACCCCGTCTCTACTAAAAATACAAAAATTAGCTGGGTTTAGTGGCACGTGCCTATAATCCTAGTTACTTGGGAGGCCGAGGCAGAATTGCTTGAACCCAGGAGGCAGAGGTTGCAGTAAGCCAAGATCTCACCACTGCACTCCAGCCTGGCAACAGTGATATTCTATCTCGAAAAAAAATACCCTTTTTTCCCATTGCACTTGGCTGGAAATACTTTTAAACTTAGAGAAAAATTGCAGGAATAGGAAGAATACAAAGGGCGGGGCATGGTGGCTCATGCCTGTAATCCCAGCACTTTGAGAGGCCAAGGAGGGCAGATCACCTGAGGTCAGAACTTCCAAGACGAGCCTGGCCAACATGGTGAAACCCCATCTCTACTAAAAATACAAAAATTAGCCAGGCATGGTGGCACATGCCTGTAATCCCAGCTACTTGGGAAGCTGAGACATGAGAATCGCTTGAACCTGGGAGGTGGAGGTTGCAGTGAGCTGAGATCACACCACTGCACTCTAGCCTGGGCAATAGAGTGAAATTCTGTGTCAAAAAAAAAAAAAAAAGAATAGTACAAAAAACATACATTTACTCTAGCAAGATTGACCTGTTTTCTCTTTTGAGCACTTTCTTTTTTTCACGTATACACATAATTTTTTTCTGAATCATTGGATAGTTGGTTATCATAGCTTTTTTTATTTTTCTGAGTTGGAGTCTCATTCTATTGCTAAGGCTGGAGTGCAATGGCACCATCTTGGCTCACTGTGACCTCTGCCTCCCAGGTTCAAGCAATTCTCCTGCCTCAGTCTCCCAAGTAGTTGGGATTACAGGCACCCATCAGCAAGTCCACCTAATTTCTGTATTTTTAGTAGAGATGAGGTTTCACCATGTTGGCCAGGCTGGTCTCAAACCCCTGACCTCGTGATCCACCTGCCTTAACCTCCCAAAGTGCTCGGATTACAGGCGTGAGCCACAGCACCTGGCTTATCATGGCTCTCTATCCCTAAGTATTTGATACTTTACTGTGTATTTCCTAAAAATCAGTATATTCTCTCATGTAACTGTAGTACAGTTATCAGTAAATTTGGCTTGCTGTTCATATTCCCATTTTGTCATTTGACCCAATAATATCCTTTATTATATTTTTCCTCTGGTTAGGGTCATGTCAGGCATACAATTGTCATCTCTCTTTTGTTTCCTCCTTCAATCTGAAACATTTCCACAGCCTTTCTTTGTCCCTGAGGACATTGACATTTTTGAAGAATACAGTCCTCCCCTTTCTGATTCCTTGTTTGGGGTTTGTCTGAGGTTTCTGCCTGCTTAGACTGAGGTTATGGATTCTCAGCTGGAAAACTGCACAGGCTTTGGGTCCTTCTCAAGGTATCACTTCTGGGAGGAAATACATGCATCTGGCCCTCATTGGTGATGTTCATTTTGATTACTGGGGCCAGGTGTCTGATTTTTTTACTGTTAATGTTTTTGCTTTTTTCTCTTGCAACTAATTAACTGGGAGACAATTTAAGATCATCTAAATGTGTTGCACCTCACCACAAATTGCCCCAGATTTAGTATCCATTGATGATTCTTGCTGAACAGGTGCTTCCTATAATGGTTCCAAAAGGCCCAGGCATAGTGGCTCATTCCTGTTATCCCAGCACTTTGGGAGGCTGAGGCAGGTGGATCACGAAGTCAGGAGTTTGAGACCAGCATGACCAACATGGTGAACCCCATCTGTACTAAAAATACAAGAAATTAGCCAGGCATGGTGGCACACACCTGTAATCCCAGCTACTCAGGAGGCAGAGGCAGGAGACTCGCTCGAACCAGGGAGGTGGAGGATGCAGTGAGCCCGAGATTGTGCCACTGCACTCCAGCCTGGTGACAAAGTGAGACTCTATCTCAAAAAAATAAAAAGGTTCCAAAAGGATGATTCCCAGCTGTTATTTTACCACCAGAGCCTGGTAAAGAGTGAGCCTGGGTCCTGTTTGAGGCCCCTGACCTCCTGACACTAACAAAAATTCAGCAGAATTCCAGGGCTTCCCTGAGAACTCTTGGGAAGGCCCTAGGCCAGTGGACAGCTCCAAATCAGGCTACCAAGGTCCACCACATCTCACCCAGGGACCTTGGTTGAGTCTCAGTTTCAGGATGCCTCAGTTTCCTCACCCACAAAAGGAGATTATAGTCAGGCTCTCCGCTTCCCCGCCACCCGCCATGAGGGAAAGCACCACTATGCTTACCAAAGGCTGTCTCCCTTCCTCCTCCTCTGTGAGAACCATGGACAGACCCCGGGGCCAACACAACAGGAAACACCTGAACCGGGGCCTGTCAACTGTGGCAATGACCCTCGTGTCGCTCCTGAATTCCCCTGCCACTGGCCTGGCGTGTGACAGCCATACCGAGTGAGTGGCCCGCAGAAGCTGAGGGACCTCAGGTGAATCACGCCATTCTCCCAGGCCCCTTCATCATAGAGGAGTCTCTTTTGATGGCAGAGTCCCCTCTGGAAGGCACTTTGAAGGGAGCGGCTGCTGGGATGGTGGTGACCAGCCATGGGGAAGGCGGTAGTAAAGTGCCTTTCCGGCCGGGATTGGTGACTCATGCCTATAATCCCCACACTTTGGGAGGCCAAGGCGGGTGGATCACGAAGTCAAGAGATCCACACCATCCTGGCCAACATAGTGAAACCCTGTCTCTACTTAAAATATAAAAATTAGCTGGGCATGGTGGCACATACCTGTAGTCCCAGCTACTCAGGAGGTTGAGGCAGGAGAATCGCTTGAACCCGGGAGGCAGAGGTTGCAGTGAATCAAGATTGTGCCATTGCATTCTAGCCTGGTGACAGAGTGAGACACCATCTCAAAAAAAAAGTGCCTTTCCCTCTGGTCTTGGGGCTGAAGGCCTGTGCAGAGAAGGGGAGCCCTCCTTTGAACACAGGCTTCCATATGTCAGTGACCTTAAGTCCTGTGGGTCATTACGGTGTGGGATTTTTTTTTTTTTTTTTTTGAGATGAAATCTCACTCTGTCATTCAGGCTGGAGTGCAGTGGCACAATCTCAGCTCACTGGAACCTCCACATCCTGGGTTCAAGCAATTCTCCTGCCTCAGCCTCCCGAGTAGCTGGGATTACAGGTACCCACCACCACACCTGGCTTCTGGCTGATTTTTCTTTTTTTAGTAGAGACAGGGTTTCACCATGTTGGCCAGGTTGGTCTCAAACTACTGACATCAGGTGATCCACTTGCCTCAGCCTCCCAAAGTGCTGGGATTACAGGCATGAGTCATGGCGCCTGGCTGGGATTTTTTTTTTTTATTTTTGAGGTGGAGTCTCTCACTCTGTTGCCAGGCTGGAGTGCAGTGGCACAATCTTGGCTCACTGCAAACCTCCACCTCCCAGGTTCAGGCAAATCCCCTGCCTCAGCCTCCTGAGTTGCTGGGACTACAGGAGCATACCACCTGTATGCTAATTTTTTGTATTTTAATAGAGACGGTGTTTCAACATGTGGGCCAGGATGATCTTGATCTCCTGACCTTGTCATGTACCCCCTTTGGCCTCCCAAAGTGCTGAGATTACAGGTGTGAGCCACTGGGTCTGGCTGGAATTTTTTTTTTTTTTTAACCCAGGCTAGAGTGTAATAGCTCGATCTCAGCTCATGGCAATCCCTGCCCCTGGGTTCAAGTGATTCTCCTGGCTCAGCCTCTAAGTAGCTGGGATTACAGGCATGCACCAACACACCTGGCTAATTTTTGCATTTTTAGTAGAAATGGAGTTTCACCATGTTGGCCAGGCTGGTCTTGAACTCCTGACCACAAGTGATTCACTTGCCTTGGCCTCCCAAAGTGTTGGGATTACAGGTGTGAGCCGCTTTGCCCGGCCCAGTACAGGGTTTCACAAATCACAAGGTGGCTATCATCAGACAGGACCCAGGACAGGGGGAGGGGAAACCAGGTTGCCCCTCCCTCTACCCCTGCCTAGGCCCTATCGGCATCCCGTCTTAGGAGTCATTGTGTTTTGTGCCCTTCACCAGGTCTTGTCTTCCTGACTCCCCACCCCACCCTCATGTCCCAGACAAAAGGGCTGTCAGAAAAGACCGCACAAACTCACTCCACAGAGGTTTCTATGAGTGAGGAGGCTCTGTGATGGAACGTGAAGGGTGGAAAGGTGATGATGGAAATTCCACCATGTTGTCATAATTTAATAGAATTCCTAGAGGAAACATCAGGATGTAAGTATACGAAGCATGACTTCAGGTTTGGAGGCAGACACGTGTGGATTCAAACCCCAGGGGTAGCCAGGTGCAGTGGCTCTCACCTGTAATCCCAGCACTTTGGAAAGCCGAGGCGGGAGGATCACCTGAGGTCAGGAGTTTGAGACCAGCCTGGCCAACATGGAGAAACCCTGTCTCTACTAAAAATACAAAAATCAGCTGGGCCTGGTGGCGCATGCCTGTAACCCAGCTACTCGGGAGACCAGGGCAGGAGAATCACTTGAAGAAGATTGCAGTGAGCCAAGATTGCGCCATCGCACTCTAGCCTGGGCAACAAGAGCAAAACTCTGTTAAAAAACAAAAATAAGGCCGGGCACGGGGGCTCAAGCCTGTCATCCCAGCACTTTGGGAGGCCGAGGTGGGTAGATCACGAGGTAAAGAGATCGAGACCATCCTGGTCAACACAGTGAAACCCCATCTCTACTAAAAATACAAAAAATTAGCTGGGCATGGTGGCGCGTGCCTGTAATCCCAGCTACTCAAGAGGCTGAGGCAGGAGAATTGCCTGAACCCAGGAGGCAGAGGTTGTGGTGAGCCGAGATCGCGCCATTGCACTCCAGCCTAGGTAACAAGAGCGAAAACTCCGTCTCAAAAAAAATAAAAAACAAAAATTAGCTGGGTGTGGTGGCAGGCGCCTGTAGTCCCAGCTACTCGGGAGGCTGAGGCAGAAGAGTCACTTGAACCTGGAAGGCAGAGGTTGCAGTGAGCCGAGATCGCACCACTGCACTCTAGCCTGGGTGACAGAGCGAGACTGTCTCAAAACAAAACAAAACAAAACAGCAAACAACAAACCCCAGGGGTGACCTCAGACAAACCATGCCTTGGTTTTCCTTGTCTGTAAAATGGACTGATTTTCCTTCCTTCACAGGGTTGCCATGGAGTACTACTGAGCCGGTTGTCTGCCTCATAGAAAATGCTTAATAGGCTGGGTGCGGTGGCTCACGCCTGTAATCCCAGCACTTTGGGAGGCGGAGGTTGGTAGATCATCTGAAATCGGGAATTTGAGACCAGCCTGGCCAACACGGAAAAACCCCGTCTCTACTAAAAATACAAAATTAGCAGGACGTGGTGGTGCATGCCTGTAAACCCAGCTACTCAGGAGGCTGTCAGGAGAATTGCTCGAACCTGGGAGGTGGAGGCTGTGGTGAGCCGAGATTGTGCCATTGCACCCCAGCCTGGGCAACAAGAGTGAATTTCTGTCTCAAAAAAAAAGGAAAAGAAAAGAAAATTCTTAATAAACCCCAGCAGCCTGGCCTCACAGAGCACCTACTGTTTGCCAGGCCTGTTATCCTCTGACAGTCACCACAGTGGCCTCACAAGGAAGATGTAATTTCACTCCATTTTACAGGTTAAGAAACTAAGGCTTAAGCAACTTACCTAGGGGACCAAAGTTAGTGTCAGGACCTGGGATTTGACCCTTCTGGGCTTTTGGGCTGGGGCCACAACTGACTGCTTTCTGCTATTTGTCTGGAGAGCCTGTGATTTCAGAAGGAGGCTCAGCCCAGAGTCCTTGAGGGACCCCCACCTTTCCTGGCACCAGGAGGATACTCCAAGGCCTGGCCAGGTTCTCCACCAGCTGGCTATGACCCAAGAGAGAGGCTTGGGAGGACTTTCCCTTATAAGGACAACAGCTCAGCTGTGATGAAACTTCTCAGCCTCCCAGCTGGGCAGGCGGGGGAGGGGAAATGACTGTGGCTCCAAGGGTGACAGCTGAGTTTGAGCCTCCACAGGAACTTGCCCACAAGGCCTCTGCTCTCTGCTGTCATAATTTTATGGGAGGAGGGGCCAGGCAGAGACTGGGACCAGAGAGGGTGGCCCACAGAAGGGAAGATGGCTACATGGGGCCCAAGGAGGAGACAGGACCTTTCAACACCCAGCAGGAACTGTGCAGGTCTGAGCTCCAAGCCGTAGGCCTCTCTGACTTCAGACTCAGACTCAGACTGGGCAGGACTATCAGAGGGTCCAAAAGGCTATTAAGCAAGTAGTCCCATTCTCCCTTTTTTTTTTTTGGAGATGGAGTTTCACTCTTGTTGCCCAGACTGGAGTGCAATGGTGCAATCTTAGTTCACTGCAAGTAGTCCCATTCTCCCTTTTTTTTTTTTGGAGATGGAGTTTCACTCTTGTTGCCCAGACTGGAGTGCAATGGTGCAATCTTAGTTCACTGCAAGTAGTCCCATTCTCCCTTTTTTTTTTTTGGAGATGGAGTTTCACTCTTGTTGCCCAGACTGGAGTGCAATGGTGCAATCTTAGTTCACTGCAGCCTCTGTCTCCCAGGCTCACGCGATTCTCCTGCCTCAGCCTCCCAAGTAGCTGGGACTACAGGCACCCGCCACCATGCCCAGCCAATTTTTGTATTTTCAGTAGAGACAGGGTTTTGCCATGTTGGCCAGGCTGGTTTTGAACTCGTAACCTACCACTTCGGCCTCCCAAAAGTGCTGGGATTGCAGGTGGGATCCACCGCCCTCGGGCCCCTTTCTTCTTTGCACCTCTAATGTGGAGTCCTAAAGAGCAGGGTGGGTGGGGCTGGTCAGCCTGCAACACCACCCAGCCTTCCTCCCCCTGAAGCTTGTGTCCCTAGGGGACTGCCCTCCCCATCACAACTGGTCAGTCCACCTTCTGAGAAACTATCCCATTCATGGAATCACAGGATATTAGGGCTGATAAGGATCTTGGAGCTATCTAGTGTCACCTGGTGGTTTCAGAGAGAAGGAAGCAACTGCTCAGAGGGGGTGGGCGAGGTGGTGGCTCATATCTGTAATCCTGGCACTTTGGGAGGTGGAGGCAGGCGGATGTCTTGAGGCCAATCCTCAAGGCTTGAGACCAGCCTGAGAAACATGGTGAAACCCTATCTCTACAAAAAAATAGAAAAATTAGCAGGACATGGTGGTGCGTGTCTATAGTCCCAGCTATTCCATAGGCTGAGGTGGGAGGATTGTTTGAACCTGGGAGGCAGAGGTTACAGTCAGCTGAGACTGTGCCACTGCACTCCAGCCTGGGTGACAGAGTGAGACTCCATCTCAAAAAAGAAAAAAAAAAAAAAGAAAAAAAGCTCAGAGGGGACCTGAACTTGCCCATCTGTTTTGTTAAAAATATATGTGTGTGTGTGTGTGTGTGTGTGTGTGTAACTTTCCCTTAGTTTCCCGTCAAGACTTTCTTTTTAGGAAATCTCAACGGAATAAAAGGATAAAGAGCTTTTTCTTTTCTTTTCTTTTTTTCTCTTTTTTGAGATGGAGTCTGGCTCTGTCACCCAGGCTGGAGTGCAGTGGCTCGATCTCAGCTCACTGCAAGCTCCGCCTCCCGGATTCAAGGGATTCTCCTGCCTCAGTCCTCCGAGTAGCTGGGAATACAGGCACCTACCACCACGGCCGGCTAATTTTGTTGTTGTTGTTGTTTTATTTTCTATTTTTGTTTTTCCTTCAACATCTGACTCCACGTATTTTTTGTAGAGATGGGGTTTCAGTTTCACCATGTTGGCCAGGTTGGTCTCGAACTCCTGACCTCAGGTGGTCCATCCGCCTTGGCTTCCCAAAGTGCCACACCTGGCAGATAAGGAGCTTTTTCTACACTCAGTTCTGGGGGTCATTGTTTCCCTGAAGACCTGCCTGGGGTTGGCAGCAGGGTGAGGCAAGATCCCAAGGGAGAGACTGGTGTGGCAGATGGAGACTCTGTCTCTGACATTGCCGGGCATAAGCTGTAGCACCTGGCGTGGCTGCTCAGCCTCTGGGAATTGCAGTCTCATCTCTTAGGGGAGACAATCACCCTGTCAAGGAGATTCTGAGGATGAAATGAGATAATTTAGATAAAGCTAATGCTTTACTGCCGCATAGCAAGGGCTTAGTAAATGGGTCATTCATACCGTGCATTGGGCACCTACTCCATGCCAACATTACATTAGGTGCCATGGATTCCAAGTACAATAAAATGGGATTTTTCCTCAGGTTGCTCACTGCGGGTCAGGGAGACAGACACTCCAACTCAGCAAATGCAGTGGGACAGCTCTGTGTTAGACCCACGGGCGAGCAGACATCAACGGGCTGTGTTTGCTGAGGGCATCAGTCAAAGCCTCATGGAGGAGGTGTTTTTGCCTGGGCCTTGAAGGAGGAGTTAGAGATTACAGAAAAGAGGTGGCAGGGAAGGACATTGGAGACAGGGAACAGAGTCCTAGTGGGTTACCGGGTTACTGGAGCCCCGGGCCAGTTCTTTGTATAGTCTCCTGTTGGCTCTGAGGAAGGGGTGGGGGACTGGCAGATGAGGTGGGGGAAGGCAGGGAGCATGCTGTTCACCCAGAATGCTTGGACTTTGCCTTAGAGATGAAGGGAAGAGGGGGTGTTTCGGGAGGGGTAGGGTAGGTATGGGCCATGGGGTGGAGACTGGAGGCGGGGAGGGTAGTGTCCTAACGGATGGTGACAGTGGACCAGGGGAGGAGTGGTGAGGGCCTGAGCTGTGACAGTGGCATTAGGAGTAGAGTGGAGGAGAATCAGGGACTTTGGGGCATTGTGGATGTGGGAGAGATGGAGTGGGAGGGAGGGAATTCAGAGATGATTCACAGAGTTCTAGGAGAGTGGGGGTGCCTTTTCTTGAGATAGGAAGCCCTTGGGGAGGGGCAGGATGGGGAGAGGACAGTGGCCATGTGGAGGGGTCTGGTGAACTACTAGAACTGAGCTGGGGGAAAAATTGACAGTCACAGGCATCCAGACGCTGGGTCACTGAAGCCACAGGCACTGCTGAGTTACATCTTGTATGTTACTTAAGATTAGATTTGACTATGACAGACAACAGGCTATGGTGTCAGAAGAGTTCATCAGAGGCTAAACCTCAGCTCTGGGGGAGTTAGGCCAAGACAGCAGAGACACAAATTCATTTCTCTTGCATAAATTAAGTCTGGTGCTAGAGGCCATCTCTATCATGGCACTCCATGGTCATCTGGGACCCAGCCTCCTTCTCTCTTACTCTTCTGTCATCTTAGCCCTTGACTTTTTTTTTTTTTTTTTTGAGATGGAGTTTCCCTCTTATTGCCCAGTCTGGAGTGCAATGGTGTGATCTCAGCTCACGACAAACTCCACTTCCCAGATGCAAGCGATTCTCCTGCCTCAGCCTCCTGAGTAGCTGGGATTATAGACATACACCACCACATCCCACTAATTTTGTTTTTTTTTTGAAATGGAGTTTCGCTGTTGTTACCCAGACTGGAGTGCAATGGCACAATCTCAGCTCACCACAACCTCCGCCTCCTGGGTTCAAGCAATTCTCCTGCCTCAGCTTCCCAAGTAGCTAGGACTACAGGCGCACTCCACCATGCCCAGCTAATTTTCATATTTTTAGTAGAGACGGGGTTTCACCTTGTTGACCAGGATGGTCTCTATCTCTTGACCTTGTGATCCACCGATCTCGGCCTCCCAAAGTGCTGGAATTTTAGGTGTGAGCCACTGCGCCCGGCCCTAATTTTGTATTTTTAATAGAGACGGGGTTTCTCCGTGTTGGTCAGGCTCGTCTCAAACTCCCAACCCTAGGTGATCCACCCGCCTGAGCCTCTCAAAGAGCTGGGATTACAGGCGTGAGCCACCTCGCCCAGCTAGCCCTTGACTGACTTCTGGGCGCGTGAGGCGATTCAGCTGCAGCCCCTGCATATGTGTTCTCACCCGTGGGAAGCAAGAAGGGGGATAGGATGCATACCTTCCCTTTAGAGGCACTTCCTGGAAGTTGTACTTCTGCCTCCCTGCCAGGGTGGTCTTGCAGCTAGCTTCCTGGTGTTTTTTCCTGTTGACTGTGAAAATCAAAAGTCTTATTACTGAAAAAGAAGGGAGAGAATGGAGCTACAGCAGTGTTTCTTAACTGGGGATGATGTTACCTTCAGGGGACATTTGTCAATGTCTGGAGATATTTTTGTTTGTCACAAATGAGGGTATTGCTACTGGCATTTAGTGAGTGGAGGCCAGAGATGCAGCTGAACACTCTACAATGCACAGGAAAGCTCCCCCAACATCTTGGGGGCTACTTAACCAAAATATCAGTAGTGCTGAGGTTGAGAAACCCTGACCTAGGTGGACAATGTGTAGTCTCTTTGCCACAACCAGGACGGGGTGTAGAGTGAGTGGACTGGTCACCGTAGATGTGCAAAGACACCTGTCCCTGGCAGACCGTCATGTCAGGAAGTTCAGCAGCAGCCCAGACCCAAGCTCTTGGGTTTTATCAGATTTGTCCCAACTTTGTGGGGCTCTTTGTTTTGTTCATGTTTCTTCGTTTTATTCATTTGTTTTAAAAATTATTTTTATTTTTTATATTTAAATTTTTTAAAATTAGAGACAGGGTCTCGCTATGTTGCCCAGGCTGGATTGCAGTGGCTATTCACAGGCGTGATCCCACTACTGATCAGCACAGGAGTTTTGTCCTGCTCTGTTTCCGACCTGGGCCGGTTCACCCCTCCTTAGGCAACCTGGTGGTCCCCCGCTCCTGGGAGGTCACCATATTGATGCCAAACTTAGTGCGGATACCTGATCGGCATAGTACACTACAGCCCAGAACTCCTGGACTCAATTGATCCTCCCACCTCAGCCTCCCGAGTAGCTGGGACTACAGGCACTATTTTGCCCAGGCTGGGCCCTTGTTTTATTAATTTCTTGATGTTGAACTCTGAAAGAGAAACCCAGGTTGGAGCCTCAAGGAAGAGGCTTAAGATACAGGCAGGCTGAGCTCAGTGGCTCATGCCTGTAATCCCAGCACTGCAGTAGGAGCACCTGAGGCCAGGAGTTTGAGACCAGCCTGGGCAACCTAGCAAGACCCTGTCTCTACAAAATATTACAAAATAATTAGCCAGGTGCAGTGGCATGTGCCTGTAGTTCTAGCTACTCAGGGCGCTGAAGTGAGAGGATCTTGAGTTCAGGAGTCCCAGGTAGCAATGAGCTATGATCATGCCAACACGTTCCAGCCTGGACAACAAAGTAAGACTCTGTTTCAAAACAAACAAACAAACAGACAAACATATATGCATTTCTTTGCCCACTAGCCACAACCCCTGAGTTGCAGGTAGGGGAAAGAGTCTTTTTTTTTTGAGATGGAGTCTTGCTCTGTTACCTCCTGAGTTCAAGTGATTCCCCTGCCTCAGCCTGTGTGCCACCATGCACAGCTAATTTTTTTTTGTATTTTAGTAGAGACAGGGTTTCACCATGTTGGCCAGGATGGTTTTGACCTCCTGACTTTGTGATCCATCTGTCTCAGCCTCCCAAAATGCTGGGATTATAGGCATGAGCCACCGCGCCTGGCCAGGGAAAGAATCTTAGTCTTGGCAGCCAGGGCCAGGTTCCGATTCAGTCCCACACTTACAGTGTGACGCAATCAGGACTTCCCCTCAGCCTTCTGGCCACAAGCTGGGGCTGGGTGGCCAAGGTGAGGCCCTTGTGGTCTTGAATCCTCAGAGATGCCAGGGCAGCTTTGCCAGCTTTGCCCAAATTGCTTGGCTGGCCTTTATGTGCTTTCTCCCTCCCAACCAGCCTTCCAGCCTAATCAGCTTTTATGCACCCCTCCCACCTCCATTTCCTTCCCAGCCTGTGGCCTTGGGTCTGAAGTGAAGCAGCCCTTCCCCAGCTGTGGCTAGTGCCAGGCCATGCTGAGGCTGAGGCCTGTGGGTCCCCAGAGTGCCCAGGATGTGGTGTGGGTAAGAGTGTGCTGGTCAGTGGGATGGGGAAAGTGTAAACAGCTCTGTCTCTGGGAAGTCTAGGCAAGAGAAATAGCTCCCAAACCCTTCTGAATATTTGGGGTCCCTGCTATGGGTGAGCTAACGTCTCCCCAGAACTAAACAGCCCCCTTTCTTCTCTAGCTATGAAAAGTTTCCCCATGAGAGGAATTTGTCTCAAAATCACCCCCTCAGGCTTGGGCCAAGTTCAGTCCCTACAGTGGATCTGGGAGACAGGGTTCCATGAGCTCAGGAAGTATCTTCCAGTCTGTTTCTGGAGGCCCAGAGGGACCCTGGAGTTTTTGGCATTTTCAAATATCCAAGATAGTTAACAAGACTAGGTGGCAGATTGCACTGGATCGGTGGCGCAGACCTCGGCTCCGTGAGCTTTGACAGGTTGCCTAACCTCCACTCCTCAGTTAGCGCATCAGTTAAACGAGAGGAATTGTGCCCACCTGAGAGCTTGGAGGATTAAACAGGATCGTGCACGCGAGGCACCTGGACGATGCCCGCACAGTGCCCATGGAAGGCCCTCGGGAAGCAGCAGCTGTTGTTATCATTGTATCATCACTCTGTCAGGAGCACATCTTTTTTCTTTTTTGAGATGTCATTTCACTCTTGTGGCCCAGGCTGGAGCACAATGGCATGGTCTTGACTCACTGCAACCTCCACCTCCCAGGTTCAAGCCATTCTCCTGCCTCAGCCTCCCAAGTAAAGACAGTCTTTTCTATTCTTCTTCAGAAAGTCCCCCCTACAGCCGCCTCTTTCTGTAGCTCTGACTACAAAAAGTCTAAGGTGGAGGGACCTCAGTAACCTGCACTTTATAGGTGGAGAAGCCAGGGAAGGGGTTTGCCTGAGGCCACACGTGGTGCCTGTGGCAGGGCATCAACAAGCCTGGATCCGCTGCAGCATTGTTCTCCTCACCCTCTTCCCATTCAGGAAACAAGGCCAGTCCTGTCAATCTGTGCTGTTGTTCCCAGACACCAAAAGGCTGTTTTCCTTTTGTCCAGCTCAGCATTGATGCCGGCAATCAGGAAGCAGTGTGATGGGAAGTGTCCTGTCTGAAGTCTTCCTGTGGGGGGGATGGCATCCTCACAGGACTGGGCTTCCTGAAATACAGCTGTGGCAGCAGCTTCAGGATTTGGCAGAACATTTAACATTATTATTATTATTTTTTTTTGAGACAGAGTCTCACTCTGTTGCCCAGACTGGAGTGCAGTGGCATGATCTCAGCTCATTGCAAACTCCGCCTCCCAGGTTCAAGCGATTCTCCTGCCTCAGCCTCCCAAGTAGCTGGGATCACAGGCGTGCGCCACCACGCCCAGCCAATTTTTGTAGTTTTAGTAGAGAAGATGTTTCGCCCTGTTGGCCAGACTGGTCTTGAACTCCTGACCTCAGGCAGTCCACCCCGCCTCGGCCTCCCAAAGTGCTGGGATTACAGGCATGAGCCACCTTGCCTGGCCTAACATTATTTTAAAAAAGATCTGGTATTGGGAATAAGGTGGAGAAGGAGGAGAGATGGGGTAGATGTAAGGAAACAAACTTTTCCAGCAGAGAATAACTAGAGTTACTCTAGAAATGATAGCTCAAGAAATAGAGCACGAGTGTGTTATTTGCAGTCAGGGAGAGGACTCACAACAGTAAAAATTATTCACTTTTTCTTTTTTAGTTTCTTACACTACATGATGTGAAACTCATTCACTATTAACATAGTTATTTCTGGGTAGTGATTCTGGAGGTGGGATAATTTAATTTTTTTTTTGAGACAGAGTTTCACTCTTGTTACCCAGGCTGGAGTGCAATGGCGCAATCTCGGCTCACCGCAACCTCCGCCTCCTGGGTTCAGGCAATTCTCCTGCCTCAGCCTCCTGAGTAGCTGGTATTACAGGCGTGCACCACCATGCCCAGCTAATTTTTTGTATTTTTAGTAGAGACGGGGTTTCACCATGTTGACCAGGATGGTCTCGAGATCTTGACCTCGTGATCCACCCACCTTGGCCCCCCAAAGTGCTGGGATTACAGGTGATAATTTAATTTTTAATTGGATGCTTTTCTCTCTTTTCTTTGAGACAACGTCTCTACTGCCCAGGCTGCAGTGCAGTGCACCATCATGGCTCACTGCAGCCTCCACTTCCTGGGCTCAATCAATCCTCTTACCTCAGCCTCCCTAAGTAGCTGGGACAATAGGCAAGTGCCACCACATCCAGCTAATTTATTGTATTTTTTGTAGAGATGGAGTCTCGCCATGTTGCCCAGGCTGGTCTTAAACTCCTGAGCTCAAGCAAGCTGCCCACTCCCACTTCCTCCTAAAGTCCTGAGATTACAGGTGTGAGTGACCTTGCCCAACCAACAATTGCATCCTTTTCAGTACTCTTTGAATTATTATTTGCCATATACGTATGTTACATCTACAATTCTTTTTTTTTTTTTTTTTTTTTGAGACAGAGTCTCACTTAGTCACCAGGCACCAGGCACCAGGCTGGAGTGCAGTGGCACCATCTCGGCTTACTGCAACTTCTATCTCGGGTTTAAGCGATTCTCCTGCCTCAGCCTCCTGCGTAGCTGGGACTACAGGTGCATGCCACCACGCCCAGCTAATTTTTGTATTTTTAGTAGAGATAGGGTTTCACCATGTTGGCCAAGATGGTCTCGATCTCTTGACCTTCTGATCCGCCCACCTTGGCCTCCCAAAGTGCTGGGATTACAGACTTGAGCCACTGCGCCCGGACATGTTACATCTATTAATAAAATAGTCAGTGCTGAGCTCAGAGGCAGGCAGGGACCACTTTTGTCTCTAGCCAAGTTGAATATGACCCTCCCAGGAAGTCCTTGGTCAGGCTAATAGGGAATTCTGTGTCAATCAAATTTCAGCTAGACCCTCCTCCTGTTTCCTCAAGACCCAGTTAAGATTGGCTCAGGCCTGTAATCCCAGCACTTTGGGAGGCCAAGGTGGGCAGATCAGCTGAGCTCAAGAAGTTCAAGACTAGTCTGGGCAACATGGCAAGACTCTGTCTCTACTAAACATACAAAAAAAAAAAAAAAAAAAGGTGTGGTGGTGCCTTCCTGTGGTCCAGCTATTCGGGAGACTGAAGTGG